GACCCAAACTGTAACTTTACCCAAATCCTTTCAAATTCTACAACTTACACAAAATGACAATTATCTAGGTTAAAACCCATATCAAGGTGTAGAATGTCCCTACCTCAAGTGTAGAAGCTCAAAGAAAATGATGAAGAACTTCAAAAATGCACAAAATCGAGCTTTGTTCGATTGAAATGGAAGCCCACAAGATGCTCCACCTTTTTCCCAAAGGAAATAGAGTAGTGGTGCTTGTATCAAAGAGTATTTGCCGAGAGAGAGAAAGAGTTTTAGAGAGAGAGAGAGAGAGTGTGCCGGATTAGGGATTTTAGGAGAATGAGAATCAAAAAGTGATGTAAAATCACCCTACTGCGAATTGATATACGTGACCTTCGCTTGAGTAAAAGAGTTGTCACTCGAGTGACCAGACACAACAAGGGACCTCGCTCGAGCACAAGAAGTGTCGCTCGAGCGCAAAATGCAAAGCTTTAGAAATTTTACAGACGCACACGCTCGCTCGAGTGCAAGAAACCCAGCTTGAGCGAAAAACTACACCTTCCCAAAAATTCTGCGTTTGGGAAAAAAACCTGAGAATTCTCAAATCTCGCTCGAGCGCAAGAAACCTCGCTCGAGCGAAAGAGCAAATTTCACAAGGCTCGCTTGAGTGCAAGAAGCCTCACTCTAGCGAAGAAGCCAAAATCTGAACAACAACAATCTGGACCAGCTAACAACCAACTTGTTCCAAACACGCCTAATATATTCCATAACTCAAATTCAAAGAGTTAAAGGAGGAAAACAAGACATGAATACAATATTAAACCACGAAACCCAAGTCTAGAATATAACAAAGCTCGGGTCAAAACCGGGATTGGTATAATTTTTTAGGAACTAAATATTTTTGTTATGAAAAGTATCGTCATTATATTTTTAATAACGAAAATTGGACATTAATGATGAATTATTATCTTTTTGGAATCAATTTTTTTGTCTAAAAAAATAAACCCTTTTGAGATCCAATTATTTGGTACCCAAAAGTGTATTTATTGGTGACATTTTTAAAATTTTGTCACTAAAAATCTTATTTTTGACTTTTTGAAACGACATTTTAGTAACTATTTTCAAGACGATAGAAATTGATCTTTAAATGTCTTTTGTAATAAAATTTTTACTTTTAAAGATTAAAAAATTTAATATCAATTACTCTTATAATATGAGTTTAGCCATAGAGACTTAGACCTCGTTTGGCAAGTGACTTTTTAGCTAAAAAGTCAAAAAATCACTAAAAAAACCAAAAAACTAACAACCCATAACAAAAAGTCAAAGATTCCCTTTTCTTTTTACTTTTTACACATCTTTTCGTAAAAAGTCAAAAATTCATCCTAAACATATTAGTTTTTTTTATATCATATTTTAGTCAAAAAACTAAAAAGTTACTAAAAAAACCTATTCCCAAACGAGGCCTTAGTTGTTGATGTACGATAGATAAATGTTGGTCGAGACCTCTAAGGCTTTTAGGCTCGGTGACATCACTCCATTTGATTGCATGGATCTTGGGGTGGTTAGGAGTGAATCTCCATAAAAAGTCCCTATTAAGCTTGTCAACAAGGTTGGTTACGGATTTAGGCCTCGTTTGGGAACATGTTATTTTAGTAATTTTTTGATTTTTTAGCTAAAATATGAGGTAAAAAAAAAGTAGTATGTTTAGAATGATTTTTTGTTTTTTACGAAAAGATATGCAAAAAGTAGAGAGAAAATGGAATCTTTGACTTTTTGGTATAGGTTATAGGTTTTTTGATTTTTTTAGTAACTTTTTGACTTTTAAACTAAAACATTGACATGCCAAACAAGATCTTAGTAAGGAAATGCATTGTATGACATTAGATGTAATATTTTGTTTTATTAACTTTTTAATTTATGTTATCTTTTTATGACTAATTTAACTAAAAAGTCAACTCAATTTTCATGCCAAATGACAATATATATATATATATATATCTATATAATAAGGCAAGAGACTTTTTGAAAATGTCTTCAAATGTATGAGAGATACATTTCAATTCAACGACTGAGATGAATTATTTTTGACCATTGAAGGCTGAGATGGTTTGTGACATTTTCACATTCCCGCCCAAAACAATCCCTCTCTCGCTCTCTTTGCAACGTCTCACCCACCTACCCACCCACGACAAACCCAAACAATATGCATTTCTCATTGAAGGCTGAGATACTGACAATTGCACTTCTCTCTTCTCAGGTGTCAATCTCTCTCTCCTCAGATATCTCTCTCTTCCTCTCCCTCCTCCTCTTTTCCACTGCCGCTCCGCTTCCACCGTAGCGTCGCCTCCGAACTCCACCGACAGCAACTTTTCATCTTTTCTCCCTCCCAGATCTCAGATCTTTTCTCTCCTCCGATCTCCACCGACAGCAACTCCTTCTACCTCTCGAACTCGGCTTGCAAGGTAAGATTTCTACCTCTCACCTTCTCTCGCTGTCGGGCTGTGTTTTGGCTAAGATTGCGTCAGGAGCATTCTCTGGTGCCTTTGCAACTGCGCTGACCAACCCTGTGGAAGTTCTGAAGGTATTTCGATTCAAAAGCTTTTCTAAACATTTTAGACTTTGTCTTACTTAATGCTCTTCTTTTTTCAGGTACGGTTGCAGATGAATCCAAACTTGAGAAGAGGAGCAATAGGGGAAATGAGAAAAATTGCTTCAGAAGAGGGAATAACGGCTCTCTGGAAGGGGGTTGGCCCTGCTATGGCCAGGGCTGCTTCTTTGACTGCATCACTGCTTGCAACATATGATGAATCCAAGCGGGTCAAGTTCTAAGCATGCTGTTTTTCACTTTGAATATCCACGACGTAATTTCCAAAGTTTCTGATTAGTTTAGCTCTTATTTAATTTGTAGTCTAAAATGGGTTTAGGCTTTTCATTTTGCTTTTCTTTGTATCTGCTATATTTTATTTATTTTTCTAATATTTTTTCATCTATTCCTCTGTTGCAGGTTTTGATAAGGTGGACTCCTCTTGAAGAAGGATTTTATCTACATCTCATGTATGGCTTCTAGCTGTTCCACTTCTCCTTATTATCTATTAAGTACTGCAAATTGAATTTTATTGAGTTTTAGTTTTCTCGAAACAAGTACCGTTCAAGCAAAACCCTAAGGTTGTGTTTGGATCTATGATAATTTTATAACGTTTTCATGTATAATTGTTAATTTTTCATCTACAACATGTTTCTTTGCTAGAACAGGTTTCTTGCTTCTCTTCTAATAAAATTCTCTTTTCTTTTATTTTCATAGGACGATGGAGATTTGCACCAAATTATAATATGAGCTCTCTTTACTCATCTTATTTCATTGGAAAAACTACAAATCAGTGAGTTTTTAAATATTTTGTGAAGCTATCACCTATTTACAATTTTTCTTATTTAATTTACTCATCTTCTTACTATACATTTTCTTTTGTATATATAGGTCCAATGTCTACGATAGATAAATGTTGGTGTTCTGATCTGTGACGAGTAGGACCCAAATTTTGGTCTTACATTCACATTTGGAAAGTTTTCTATAAGATTTGACTTTAATTTATTTTTTATTTTTTATGATTGGTTGGTGTGCATTGTTTGTTGTTTTGTTTTAATTAAATTATTTTAGAATTGCAGAGCACTGGTGTGCATTGTTTGGTTAATTTTATTTTATTATAATGGTAGAACATTAGTTTACCATTTTAATTTTAATGAACATTATAAATTTTATACGTTTATTCCTTAATTTGCATTAAGATTAGGGGAGTTGTTGTTTTTAATTGAATTCTGTAGAGGGTATGATACATATAAATTACAAATATATTTTGATGCCAATATTATTTACACCGTGCCTTTAGGTACGGATATACAGTAGTATATATATATATATATTATGAAAATAAAATGAAAAAGATTAAAATAATTTTTTTTTAATTTTTATTAGAAATGAGAGAGAGAGAGAGAGAGAGAGAGAGAGAGTGTGTCAGGGGGAATTTTGTATTTTTCTTTTTTAACTAATCTAAGTCACAAATTTTTAGTGTAGTGACGTGACCCAATTTAGGCTGTGCCTCTAGAGAAAAAATGTTGGAGAGGATCTGAACTCATTTAGCCAAGCCATGAAGAAAGAGAAGGGGGGAAACCACACTGTCCCATGGCAGAGTAGTTAGAAAAAGATGTGAAAATTGCTAGAAATGGTTATAAAATTCTAGATAAAACCAGAATTTTTTTCCTAAGTTTGGTCTATTTTTTAGGTGGGCCCCGTGCATCGATTTTCACGGGTCAAAGTGGTAACGCGTTCTATGCCGCGTTGTGATTCACGTGGTATATTTGGTTACTCAAAACCATTACCGAGTGAATGGGAAATTGAAACCAAAGTGTGCTCTATGGAAATGGAGTTTTGGTGGAAATTCCTTAAGGTTGTAAAATGGCTTGTCCCACATTGATTTGGTAGGAGGTTTTGAAAGGGTTTATAAGGCTTGGGTTTGGTACTTAGGGTGTGCCCAAGGGGTACCCAAGTGTTTTAGAGGGAGAGGTTATGGGCAAAATGGGCTAGACCCATTGGACCCAAAAATCACCACACGCCCAAAAATCACCACACGTGCGCGCGCACCGCCGTCTGTCCGGTCGGGCGGGCTAGGCTTGGGCGCGGGTGCGTGGTGTGAGGTTGGGCTTGTTCGGCCCAATACTAATCTTTTTAGGCAAAAAATATTTGAATTTAATTTTATTTTCTGGTAAAATAAAATCCATAATTCAAAATTAAACTGGTTTGGTTTTACTGTACATCCAAACAGGGCCCTTCCCGAAATAAACCAGTCTAGTATTATTGCACACCCAAACAGAGCCCTTCCCGTTTTGTTATCTGTTTGAAATATAACCCAACAGATTCAAATCTGTTTGAATTCAAAACCAACAGGTTTCATACCTGTTCAATTCAAAACCAATAGCCACCTTTACATCTATAAATAGACTAGCCTCCCATTTGGATTTTAACTCCAATTTTGGTACTCCATCCTCTGATAAAAATCTTTGCATTTTATTGCATTTATTTTCTAAAAGAAAGAGTATAAACACTTAGTGTGTTCGTAAAACAAACAATTTGTAGTGTTTCTATTGTTTGTAGTAGATCATTTCATCCTGGGAGATAGACGTTCAATTTCTGAAAGCACCGTGGAGAGGACGAATCTGTCTTAAGAACACAGTGTCAAACACTGGACTTGATCAGATTATAATTCGAAGAAATTAAATCAAGTAAGTTATTTAATTTATTTTCAGTGTTTTATTATTTATTTAAATCAGATTTTAATTTTATTTTTGTAACAAAATAAAATCTATTTTTATGTATTTTTTTATTTCGAGTTTGATTTTTGTAATCAAACAAATTCTCTCCTTTCCTTTATTTCTTTATATTCTGCTTGTTGTTTAGTACACAACAGAATTTAATTAATTTAAATACAGTGAAGATTGTCCTACAATCTTAAGACAGATTCTTTTTGGGTATCGTCATTGTATTTAATTTTCTGTGTTTTCAAAGTAATATTTTGGTTGGAAAAACAAATAGTCATTTATGCAATTTGACAAATAGTAGTAATATACTGTCTCTTTTCTTTGACAACTAGTAGTAATATACTGGTGTCATTAACAATTGCAGAATATTACTTGGTGTTACAGAAAATTATCTTGGAATTTTATTTTTCTAGTTTTAGTAACAAGGAAAATAAAATTATTTTGTTGTTATCATTTATTTTCTGGTTTTAGTAACTAGAATTTATTTTCTGGTTTTGGTAACCAGAAAATTGTTTTGTGTTTTTTTCTGATTTTTGTAATCAGATATTATTTCGGTATTTTATTTTTCTAGTTTTAATAACAAGAAAAATAAAATTATTTTATTTTCTAATTTTAGTAACAAGAAAAATAAAATGATTTTGTGTTATAATTTATTTTCTGATTTTTCACGGGTCAAAGTGGTAACGCGTTCTATGCCGGTTGTGATTCACATGGTATATTTGGTTCTCAAAACCATTACCGAGTGAATGGGAAATTGAAGCCAAAGTGTGCTCCATGGAAATGGAGTTTTGTAAGAA